GTCGCAAGCTGCCGAGCTGCACACATCGGAGAGCAAGCTTCCAAGTCTCCCTTGCCCCGAGCACTCTGACGAGTTTCATCCTATGAAGAAGATACTCGGATGACATTAGCCGAAAATGAATAGGCAGATTCCCAAGCTTCTTCGGAACTTGCCTCGTGTCCTCCTCTGTCTTTTAGTGCCAAGGGATGGGAGGAGCAGCAGATCTGATGTGAAAGCGAAGAACCTCTTTGCCCTCGAGAGGTTCATGGGCAAGAGTGCAGGCTTCATGGGCCAGTCAGAGGACAAAACCTTGGAGGCATTGGGCATAGGAGAGGTGCTCCTCTCCCATCAACACCGGTTCTTGGCCTCTCTATGCGCAATTGCAAGTAAGACTTGTCTAGTTTAGCCTGCCAAAAAATCAGCAGCTGCACGATGAGACTCAGGTTGTCCTGTGACTTCTTGTTCCGCTACTGGAGGAAAGGCTTCGGGCAGCTGGTGCAGGAATTTCGCTCTCAGTCACGGGGTGCCCTTGCGATTTGAGGTTTTGTCTGTGGGTAAAATCAGTCAAGAACGTGGCGAGGACATGGCCAAGCAGACTTTCAAGTCCATCACCATCATGGCGGATGCCTCGCCTAAGGGCAAGCTGCATGTTTCTCGGAGGAAACACCTTGGAACTGAGGGTTCACCCAGCATCAGCTCATTTATTTGATCTTGCCAGCCAGCAATAAGGTCTGGTGTGCAGTGCTTTTTGCAGGGAGAGTGGCTGTGCTCCCACCAGTGCAGCGGCTCTCCTACCTGTTGCCGTCCACTGCAAGCGACGAGCGGAAGTTGCAAGAGGCCCAGCGAGTTGCCGACGACTTTGGCTCGAAAGCCGAAGAGACGAAGCACGGCAACAAGAAAGTGCTTCCTGATGGCATTCGGTCTAGCCACGTGCAAGTGCTTTGGCATGCGATTTGTGGTGCCTCCCTGTGTCCTCGCTCCCAAGCTGAGGCCCCGGGTGCTCAAGACCATCAAGCAGAAGCGGCTCGCCGCGCGAGAGGAGCTCAAGGCGGTGCTCCATACGATATCCCTTGCAGGGATGGAACTGCAGAAGCCGGACCATGTGTTGCGACCCGCGGACTCTTCCAGCGGAGAGGTTCGGCTCTTCAGGGGCAACCAGCCTTTCCTTTGGAGTCCGAGCACAGGAAATGGCCACTGGGACATGGTGCTCGAGTCGCAGCAGAACAGGTTGCGGCTTGTTCTGAGTCCTGACGAAGGCGGCCCACTTTGGGCTGCCTTCACTTGGATGGCGAACCAGGGCTACAAGATCAACTTCATCAGGGACGAGCTGTGACCTTTCTGCAGAGTCAAAGCACTTTACTGTGTCTCTTCATCTCAGTCGTTGGGTCTTTCTCTCGCCTCATTTCTCGCGGAATGTCTCCCTTTAGCCTCT